CCCCAACCTCAACTTTTGCTTTCAAATATTTGGGAAAGAAGTCCGTCTTATAATCCGGAGACGGGATCAGCGCCACGATTGAATATCAACACAAACCACGCGCCGCGTCTCTCCCTCCCGATCCTCGTGTCGCCGCGATACTTACAACGTAAGGCGCTTGTGCCAGGCTAGGTGCACTTTGAGCCTTCCCTTTGCTCAACGTGCAAAGGGCCTAAAAATCACAACCACCACTACCACGCACAAAGACAAAGATCCACCCCCCGTGTAGCCTCGACAGACTGTCGGGGCAAGTGGTGTGAGCGAGTAGCACCCATTAAGGCCGGCACGGCACACGAGGGTGTGGGTGGCCAGCACCACGCCCGGTCGCCTTTGTCTCCCCAGTGGCGATGTTTACACACCGCACCAGGTACTCATTTCAGGCTGAGTCGACCTAGCGGAGGCCCACGATCAGTTCAGATAATCGTCACCGGTGTTGGCCGTGAGCGGGAATCGAACTCGGGTCGCCGGGTTCGTAGCGTGGCGTAGCGCTAACCGCGTGTGTGCGCGCGTGTGTGTCTGCGCGTGTGTGTGCGCGTGTGTGTGCGCGCGTTGCGTGCGTGCGCGCGTGTGTGTGTGTGCGCGTGCGTGTGTGCGTGTCTGCGTGTGTGTGCGTCTGCGTGTGTGTGCGCTTGTGTTTGCGCGCGTGTGTGTGCGTGTGTGTATCTGCGTGTGTGTGTGTGCGCGTGTGTGTGTCTGCGTGTGTGTGCGCGTGTGTGCGTGTGCGTCGTCACCGCAACCTGCCCGCAGTGTCTCGACTAAAGTGGCGGAACAGACGAAGCGCGTCGCGTCTCGCGCGCCGAGGGCTCCGGGGGGGGGGGGCAAACCCCGCCAGGAGGCGCTCCTCGTGGTGGTGTTGGGGGCCCGTCCTTCCCAGCCAGCACTCAGCAGTTGTTTACCCCCCCCCCAACCACAAGCACCACGAGAAATGATGTACAATGTACACACACACACAAGACAAAGATCCCCCTTGTAGCCTGAACAGACTGGAGGGGCAAGTGCTGTTAGCGAGTTGCACCGATGAAGGCCGGAACGGTACACGAGGGGTGGGGGGCCCACCACGCCCGACCGCCTTTGTCTCCCCAGTGACGATGTTCTACACACCGCACCAGGTACTCATTTGAGGCTGAGTCGACCTAGGGGAGGCCCAAGACCGGTTCAGATAATCGTCACTGGTATTGGCAGTGAGCATGAATCGAACCCGGGTCGCTGGGTTCATAGCGCAGCGCGCTAACCGCTACACCACCGCTCCCCACACACAGACACACACACACAGACACACAAACACACCCACAGACATATAACCATTTCGAAGGGACGTGCTGAGTAATGTCCCATCTTGCCGAGCTCGTTCAACATGTCCCCTTCGTGTGTGTGTCCCTCTCTCGCTGTCTCCCTGTCCCAGGCGTTCACATTGTACATGCGAGGTAGTCGCGGTAGTAGCGGTAGCAAGTCACCTCGTGGTGCCCGACTCTGTTGGCCAAAGCCTCCTTGAGCCACGGCGTCGCGCGACTCATGCGGCTCGGTGTCGTGGTGGGCAAAGGAGGAGGAGGAACAAAATCCGTGAGCAAAATGAATAAAAAAAAAAAATGTTCATTTCGAAAAAGCAGTATTGACAGCCGTTACACTCTCACGTTGTTATTTGTTTAAGAGCTCCAATCAGCAGCATCGTGGGGAGACTCCCAACCCTGCCGACCCAGCGGTCACGGCACCGACGCGCGCGAGAGAGAGGGAGCAGCGCGTCACAGCTCAGAGGCACCTGCGATGAGCACGGTTGGCGACGTACGGTGCGAAAAATGTTCAAGGTTTCAAACGAAAAAACGAACCATCGCAAAGTCACCGCCTTGTCGACAAAGCTCCTCGTGAATGATTCCCGCAGCTTCCCCAGTCACGATCTTCAACACAATCATCATCATCATCATCCTCATCATCATCATCCTCATCATCATCCTCCTTGCAAATGTCACCGCCGTGCCCATCATTCGCTACTTCAACACCATCACCGCCATCAACACTGCTGCAGTTTTCTCCACCACCACAAAACTCACTATCACATGCATTCAGTCAAAACCACGGCATGCGTATTCGTCACCAGCGCCACC